AATACAACGTGTAATTATACAACATGCTACTGAAGTGAAATTTCTTCAAACACACAAACATACCGGGATAGGGGTTAACGAATTGGTTTAATTGTATTATTTGTATAATATGAATTTATCCAGAAGAATAAAAATTTTTAGTTTGTAAAATTTATATGTAAGTATACATAAAATAGTTAAAACGTAATGTTTTTAATAAAGCTATCTATCTATCAGTATCCAAAAACCAAATAATTATTGAAAGAAAACATTATTGTGCTTAACCCTTCGTCTGATATGTACATATAGATATTATAAACAGAAAACATTCCAGAAGTATTCACAAAGTGGTTTTAATTTTTGAAAATTTGGATCGTCAGAAACTTTTTGTGGAGTAGTAAATCCAGAGTGTTTCTTCGAAATCTACGCATCAACTACATAAAGATAATCTTTAGTAGACATCGTTTTATGGACACTTAAAATTTCGTTATTTCGCAGTAAAAAGTTGTCTTTTATTGTTTACTCTTTCCCGAAGGATGAGAGAGTGTTGAAGGAAAGTATACGTCAACGAAATCGATCGTGTGGTTGCCAAGCGCCTGAAAAAACAGCGACAAACAAGTGCGAATGTCAGATTCTGTGTCGATGTCAAGAACAGAATCTGAAAAAGCGAAAAAGTTTTTTGAACTACTGTAATAGTTAAAGGAATAGTACAAAAACACAATGGCTGATGCCGGAAAGGAGAAAGGTCCCGACGAAGATGAAAGAATGGAATTTATCCTTAACTATCTCGTCAAGAGTATGAGACTAAAAATGGAAAAATGGAATAAAATGCTCGGAACTCCTGAATTCTTGGTTAAGTATTCTTCAGAGTTTTCTTCCCTTAATTTACTTACGATCAAACGAATCACAGTCTTGTATAAATGTGCTACTTATAAAAGAACCATCGCTCAGCTGTAAGCGCAAATTCTGTATAAGATTTTTATGAAGATGAATTTTGAGGTACACATATAATGTAATTTCAGTATCAATCTATCTCACCGGACAATATCGACAAACATTACCTACTTTATTTTTCAAAAGAAACCATCTTTCACACTCGATCATAGCAGCGTCTGTTATGATAGAAACCAACTTGTTTTAAGGAATCTACTTTAATACTAGGAGAAAATCTTTGATTAATCACATTTTCTGAAACCTTTTTTTAGTTCTTAATTTATAAATAATACGTACACTTACTGCTTTATTGTAGATAGATGCTTTCTTTTTTAATCCTTTAACTCTGGTATTTCATTTTATTTAACTGTATTAGTGACAAATATTAAAAGTTTTTGCCAACAAGTCAAAAAAGAACAAGAGTGGTGATTACAGGATCCACAGCGAGCATGTTTTTTCAAAATGCATTATTTTGGTTAAAGTAGAACAAATATTGTCTTCTAAATGTCATTGGTGATTGGGTATATTAAAAAAAAAAACGCAATAAAAAGCAAAATACGAAGTTTCAGTTTGTTGTTTAAAAAATTAATAGTTGATGAAATGAAACTTAGATATTTCAGGATGTCTCACAGCGAATTTTAATAGTTACGTTATATTTTAATAAGTGATTTGATAAAAAAGAACATTACCCTTCTACTTCGAGGGTCCGTTTTTGTCTGCAATATGATGACGTTTCGTTATCCACAATGAACAGCCACGGTCAGATAGCTAGGTCTTGATCGTCTCAAAAAAAAGAAAAATGATCATCACGATCCTGACCGCGTCTTTAATTGAGCGCAATTTTCAAATGTGAATGAAAGTATTGGCCTAAATTTAACCAATCTTACACTCAGAAAAATGCTCTAAGAAAAATTACTCTAACGTTGTAGAGGTCGTTTCGTAGAAAATGCAGCTCAAATTTGTAGTAAGGTTAACTAACGGTAAACTTAAATTTGACTATAAAATTGTAGTGGTAAATTGTAGGAGAAATATCGACAGAGGCTCATACGAATTCCTTACAATTTGAATGAAATATTTACAATAACAACTTCGTAAATTTCATTACAAAATGTAGTAAGAAAATTGTAGAAAATATAAAGATAAAATGTAGCAATTTTTATTGAATATTTATTTGCGTTTCAGTTGTAAACAAATTTGCTACAATTTTGTATATATTTTTTTAATTATTGTATAGAGATATGCTACAATAAAAAGTAATTTTTAAGAGAAATTTGCAGTACATATTCTTTAACGTTGTAGTTGAGAGACAAACAGTTTGTAGGAAAAAAGTAATTACAATATTATATTAATTTTCACTACAACTTGTTTCTGTCCCTATATTCGCTACTAGTTGTAATGAAAAGTTCTACAATTGTAGAAGTTTGTTCTGCAGTTTTCTCTGAGTGTAGCTTGACTGTAACATGACCGTAACCGGCACGCTCAATGTGAATTAGCCTTTAAACTAGCAAAACTTCACAACTGTTTTCGAGATTTGGGGCATTTTCCTTTAAAATATTCGCGACAAACGCGCTCAATGTGAATTAGCCTTTAAACTAGCAAAACTTCACAACTGTTTTCGAGATTTGGGGCATTTTCCTTTAAAATATTCGCGACAAACGCCTAACGTTTCGGCCAAAAAAAAATTGGAGACAAAAAGGGGTTACGCTACGCCAGAAAAAAATGTCCATATCCATAATTTTGTCTACAATTTTTAGAGAATTGTCACTGGCTTTCTAAATAAACCAGATGAGCGCATGATGTTGTTATCAGTGCCTGCGACAGGACTTTTGACTCCAACTAAAGACTTCAGTGGTGGCATCAAAGCGAAAACCACATTCTTCATAAAAAAAATTAGAGACGTGGTAACCATGCAAAACTTTCGAGACGTCGTAATTTTCGGAGATATATCTCCGAAACCTGTTGACGAACTTGTAGCACTAGGGGAAGCTGTAATAGCGCCCCTATTAACAAACCTTGAAAATCACAAGGGATGGCCTGTGGCTATTTCTAATGACGTTTTAAAACACGTATTGGATTTTAAAAACGTTATTTACCAGGTTGGTAAAGCTCATTCTGTTTTTAAAATGGTTTAAAAATAGAAAAATTAAAAAAAGAGAATTTTACAAACTAGTCCATTGTTTGTAACTCAAAGATTATTTTTCTTTTAAGGCAAAGGGTGCTCTTAAGAGTCAAACTTTACTCGCAATGCCTCCGGGTGTTGAGAGAGTATTTGAAGCGCAACTGAAACTCGAAGAGTCTGGTGGTGAAGACATTGATCTGAGTTTAAAAACAGCGATTGAAGAGACTATTATACGATGGACAAAAATTTGTGGAGAAATTATTAAACAAAATTCCACTATAATGTTTGCTAATAACGCTCATCCGCTGCCTTACAAAGAGGTTGAATTTTGGGTCGCGAGACTTAAAAACATCGAGAGTATATATGATCAACTTAGGGACCCCAGGGTAAAGAAAATGGCAGAATATTTGGAAAATACCAACAGCTCTTACGTGTCAAGTTTCAATACCATGTTCAAAGAAGTTGCTGCAGCTGTAGTGGAAGCAAGAGATGTAACCCTTTACTTGAAACCTATGGAATCAATTTTTTCGAGATTTGACGAAAACGAATTTCCCAATTTGGGTTACGTGGTAAAACCTCTGCTGCACTGCTGTGGTTTACTTTGGGGACACTCCCGTTATTACTGTGAACTTTCGAAAATGGCGCTGATGCTCCAAGAAATAGAAAATCTATTTATAGAAACGTGTTCGCTACAATTAGATCCCAGCGCAATATTCCAAGGAGACGTGGAGGAAACCATCATGAAGATCGAGAAATCGTTAGATGTTATGAATTCGTTTATTGATGATTTCGAAGTACTTCGAGCTAACATAGCTTACTTCTTTCCTGCAGGAGTCGAAGTAAAAGAGCTGACTTTCCATCCTCGTACGGTTTTCCAAAGGCTAATGAACTACATAAAGAGAGTGGAATTAGTCTGTACAATATTGAAAGATTACGTCGAATACGGCAAACTTGACAGAGTTGAAATCGGCGGATTGAAAGGAAAATTTCACGCTGCTAAAATCGAAGAAGTGTTCGATGAATTTACTAAAGCCTACGCAGTTTTCAACAATATCCAGTATGATGTTATGGAACCAGACGATCAGAACATACATCAGGACTACGAAACATTTGCGGAAAAATGCAGAGACCTGGACAGGAAATTGGTTGCCGTTTTCAATCAAAGTATAAACGACTGTTACACAATGGCGTCTGTTTTTAAACTTGTTGCTGTCATGGGTACTTTGATAGATCGACCAATAATTGCTGCAGCCATCAGACCAAGATACACGATGCTTATTGATTTTTTTAACGAAGAATTGGATCAGGTCAAGATTGAATACGATAATGGTAAAAGGGATGGTATCCCAATCGATAACTTTTATCCACCAACGGCGGGTGTGCTTACGTGGTTATACAAGCTGAAGCAAAGGATACTGCAACCGGGTGAAGATTTTAAACTACTGGACGATAAAATAGTTAGATCAGAAGATACATTGCACGCTTTTGAAAAGTGGGACCAAATGCTTGGAATATTGAATACCGAATTCGATAGAGTATTTGCCGAGTGGGCTGCAGCTGCTCCGGGAATTTTACAAGTGAATATCGACAAGAAGCTTTTAATACGAAATTCGTCAGGATTATTAGAACTTAATTTCGATTTCGAACTAACGACAATAATACGTGAAGTCAAATGCATGAAATATTTGCAAGTGGAGGGAATCCCCGAACCTATACTTCAATTCTACGACAGAAACGAAGAATTACAGTACTGTCTGATTGGGCTTAGAAGAATAGTGCAATGGTATAATCATATTAAGCTGAAAACATTACCGGTTGAATATAAATTGGTAGAAGACGAGGTCACTTTTATTGACGAAGGTTTAGAAGCATTAGTAAATGAGTTGAACTGGACAACTGACAGTAAGTATCGAAAAAATACGTATAAAGGATTCCCGTTGCAAATTCTGTCAAACATCATGTTTAAAACTGTATATTTACGTATGACGTGAGTTTAGTTTAATAAGTCGATATCCTGATTGAACCCTACAATCAGTATGAAAATTTCATATCTCTACAACAACTTTTTTCTCGCAGATAGACATCCCGCGGGTCAGTTCAGTTAATATCTTTAATGCTTCAGAAGTTTATTATTAATACCAAGACTGAGGCAGTTTTGGTCTTGCTCTTTCTTTACTCATCACTATTAATTACTAACAACAAGGGAAGTCTGCCCTGATTTGCTAATTATCTCAATTATTAATTAGGAATTAGGTATAATGTGCTTCTGATCGGAAAATTAAAAAAGAAAATATGTTGTAAATATCATAAAAAAGTGAGCTATTCTTTAATGAATATTTTTGTCCTAGTTTACACGTAACTCAAATTAAACCATAATTTCGTTTCTAGAGGCGATATTTCGGTCCAATATATGAATAGTGATTCAGAATTAATTTTGACATTAATAACTTCATGTTTGTCGAAAAATGTAGATATTTTATTAAACGTTATCTGTTATTAAAATGTCACTGGACAACTTCCTGGCGTAATTACTACATTGATTATTTTTTTAGATACCGATGCAATATATGATGTTCATGCAAAAACGAAAAGTTTATACGAAAGAATTCTCGAAGCACAAGCGAACGTAGCTGCAGTTATAGCGGGAATCGAGGCATGGTCGTTACCGTTGTTTGAAAGAAAAGAAGGGATCAAAGAGAATCTCATTGGACTTGGTGACAGAGCTGATAGAGTTCAAAAACGTTACGATCAAGTTACTGCTTCCTCTGGAGAAGTAGCAAAAATGCTGGAGAAAAACTATAGACTCTATTTTGACCTACCAGAGCCCGAAGAAGAACCGGTGAGTTTGTAGAAGAAATAGAAGATATTAGTTTTATGCTGGATTTTACCTTTTATTTTTTACAGGATCCGGATGCTATTCCAGAAGAGGGAGTCGTCGTGGTTGAAGAAACCCCACCACCACAACCACCACCACCCCCACCACCACCTCCTGAGGAAGAGAAGAAAGGAAAAGGAGACAAAGACAAAGATAAAGATAAGAAGAAAAAGGCGAAAGAACCAGAGAAAACACCTGAAGAAATCCAAGCTGAACTGGAAGCTGCCCAGAAGGCTCTCGAAGAAGAACAGAAGGAAATAGAAAGGCAAGCAAAATGGACAGAATATCGGGATTACATTGACGGTGTCCTATATGAAAAAGTGATAAATGCAGTCGGGATCAGTTTGAGTTATATAATAACCGAAATGGACAACACAATAGACCAACCGCCGTTATTCTCGATTGTTTTGGAATTGCACGAGCCCAGAATAGTCTACGTTCCAACGGTAGATCTTGCTGAAAGGGACAACTTTTTCAGATTCATCGTGTCACTTATAGAAGACATGAACAATATGGGAAAGTATATGGCAAGAGTTTCCGAAAACGCCGTCGAACCCAATTATTATCGCGCCATACTGAACACGGAATCAATTCAAAGCCAGTACACTAAAATATTGCAACAGGTTCTGATTGCGATAGAGAATGCACAGGCTTATGTAAAAAAATTCGACGTTTATAAGTACCTTTGGTTGGAGAATAGGCAAGAAGTACTCGAGCAATTTCTTATTTATGGAAGGATACTGACGGCAGAAGAAATAGAATTTATTCGGATGGAAGAGAAAGAAGGAGTCGAGTTCAAACCAACGCCACCAACAATGCAGGACTTTAAAGCCCAAATAGATTATTACGAGGATTTGTTTAAGCAAATGCAACTCGTTGAAACGGAGTACATCATAGACAAATGGCTTCACGTTGACGTACGTCCTTTACGACAAGCGATTTTAAATATAGTTAGCAAATGGGAGAACATGTTTATACAACATCTGAAAGATAGAGTTTACAATAGTCTCGCCGAACTGAGAGCATTCATTGACGAGGCAATACCCGCCATGCAAGTGGAACTGGACGAAGACGATTACGATGGTCTCATAAAGGTCATGGGTTACTTATTTAAAGTAAAGGAACGTATGCTGGAGACGGACAACATGTTCGATCCTTTGAAAGAAATTATCGACTTACTTGCTGAATACGGAGTCGAATTTCCAGAAGAAATTCACGTGGAGTTACAAGAACTTCCTGAATATTGGATGCAATGCAAAAAGGTTATTTCATTTGTTTTAGCATTACACGTTTAAATTAAATCTAATTAAATTATTTCAGGTGGCTGTGACTACCAAACAAAACGTTGCGCCCTTACAAGCCAAACAAGTGAACGCGATCAAGAGACGAATTATGATCTATGAAATCAGACAAACTATGTACCGAGACGTGTTTAGGACTTATCCAATGTTTAAATTTGATTGCAAAAACGTCTATGACGTAATGGACAAAGCGAACAGGGAAATTACCGATCTCGAAAATGAACAAAATAAACTTGAGGAGCAGACGTTTCTCTTTGAAATTCCCTTTCAAGAATTCAAACAGATCAAGGTTTGTCGACGGGAAATAAGATTACTGAAGCAACTGTGGGATTACGTGAACATTGTAATGTCTTGGATAGAAGACTGGAAGAAGACTCCGTGGAAGAAGATAGACGTTGAGGGAATGGAAATGGAACTGAAAAAGTTTGGCAAAGACATCAAGGCTATGGACAAGGAGCTTCGAAGTTGGGATGTCTACATACAATTCGAAGGTGTTATAAAGAATCTCCTGACATCTCTTAGGGCAGTGACGGAACTTCAAAATCCTGCCATCAGGGACCGACATTGGCAACAGTTGATGCAAGCAACAAAGGTATTTTACTTAGAAAGAAATTATAATCGGTAATTTTGTTGATTTTAATATTTCTATTACTTTTTTTCTTTATTGTTTTATTGCTACCATCTTAGGTTAAGGAAATTTTACCGCCACACTATACTGTAAGTAAAAACGAAAAACGAAATCAAAACTGACCTGTATACGAAGTACTTGCCAACTAAAATTAAAAAAATTCTATTATTAGGTGAAGTTTGTCATGGACGATTCTACTACATTGAATGATTTGTTGGTGCTGAATTTGCACAAATTCGAAGAAGAAGTTAAAACGATCGTTGATAAATCGGTCAAGGAGATGGCTATGGAGAAGGTATTGAAAGAAATTAAAGCGACTTGGAGTTCGTACGAATTCGAGGTCGAGTATCACGAAAGGACGAAATTGAAACTTTTAAAGGGATCCGAAGAAATGGTGGAGTTGTTAGAAGAACATCAAGGAGCTTTGCAAAACATGATGACATCGAAGTTTATTGACTTCTTCTTCACGGAAGTAACCGAATGGCTTACGAAGCTTTCGATGGCCGATGCTGTGATATCGGTTTTCTACGAAGTTCAGAGGAAATGGAGTTATTTGGAGAGCATTTTCATAGGTTCTGAGGATATTCGGTCGCAGTTACCGGAAGATTCCAGAAGATTCGATAGAATCGATAAGGAATTTAAGGATGTATTGAATGACATGACCAGAAACTTGAACGTTATAGTGGCTACCAATAAACCTGGCTTGGTACGTCGCATTGAAGGTTTGGAAGCTGATTTGACCCTTTGCGAGAAAGCTCTCAATGATTATTTAGAAACGAAGAGATTGGCTTTTCCCCGTTTCTACTTTGTTTCATCGGCCGACTTGTTGGATATTCTATCCAACGGGAACAATCCTCCGATGGTTTGCAGACATCTGACGAAACTATTTGACAATTTGGCAAAACTAAGATTCGTCCAAGAAGGAGGTAGAGATAGTAAAAGAGCGTCGGGAATGATGTCGAAGGAACACGAGGAATATGTTCCGTTCATATCGAGTTGTGATTGTTCGGGTAAAGTCGAAGTATGGCTAAACAGGGTAATAGATGTAATGCGTACAACGTTACGTAAGGTCTTCCAAGACGCCGTGGTCAGTTACGATGAAAAACCAAGAGAAGTTTGGTTGTACGACTATCCGGCTCAGCCAGCTCTCTGTGGAACGCAAATATGGTGGACGACAGAAGTGAACATGGCTTTCGCTAGGTTGGAAGAGGGTTACGAGAATGCACTGAAAGATTATAATAGGAAACAGATTGCCCAGTTGAATGCACTCATTAATTTACTTTTGGGCGACTTGACCAGCGGAGATCGGCAAAAAATTATGACTATTTGCACGATCGACGTCCATTCGAGAGACGTGGTGGCAAAAATGATAGCTGTAAAAGTTGACAACTCCCAGGCATTCCAATGGCAAAGTCAATTGCGTCACAGATGGGACAACAAAATCGCTGACTGTTTCGCTAACATTTGCGACGCCCAGTTTCGTTATCAGTACGAATATTTGGGGAACACCCCCAGATTAGTCATAACCCCGCTCACTGACCGTTGTTACATCACGTTGACGCAGAGTCTCCATTTAATAATGGGCGGTGCTCCTGCTGGACCCGCAGGAACAGGAAAAACCGAAACCACGAAAGATTTGGGCAAAGCTTTGGGCATTATGGTATACGTGTTTAATTGTTCGGAACAAATGGACTACAAATCGGTCGGAAACATCTACAAGGGCTTGGCCCAAACTGGCACGTGGGGATGTTTTGACGAATTCAATAGGATCTCTGTGGAAGTGTTGTCGGTGGTAGCAGTACAGGTCAAGACCATTCAAGACGCAATCAAAAATAAGAAAGTTAGGTTTTTGTTTTTGGGAGAAGATATAACGTTGATTAAGACGGTAAGTAGTCAAGATTTGTTTCTAAAAATTCCAAGTTTCTCAGTTATGTTGTTGCGAATCCAGTAGTAACGTTCGATTTGATTTTCGAATTAGTATTGTAATTATTAAAGTTTATTTTTACACCAATCGTTCCTCGATACTAATTACAAAGTATCAGAGCCAAGCTGGATTTTCTGATCAATCGTTCCTATTGGTTGGCTAATAGGCTAATTATAATTATTGACTAAGAATATTTTGGATCTTCAAAATTTATGTGGATGTAGCTAGGGGGTGGTTTATGATGAAAACGGATTTTCTTTGAGTTTCTTCTAATTAATTTTTTTCTAAGTGTTATTAATATCTACAATTTAGCGATTAATTGCTAATTAAAACTAAAATTTGATTTGTTTGAGGTTTAGAGTACCTACTATAAAATTTTGCGGACTACTAGAAATACGGAATATTCGATTCGAATTTTAAATTTTTAAATTAATCGATTTCATTGAGCTCTATTCGCATCTAAAGTACTTACAGGGCGATTCACACTATTCTCCGTTATTTTTATTGGCAAGAAGGTTTTTCGAACACAAAATATTTTATGAGATTTCTTATGAATTCTTGAATGAATACACAGAGTGTTTGAAGAAATGTACATACGTATCTGTATTTCTTTACCTTTGCTTATAACGACTTCCGGATATATCGATGAAATTACTTATGGTCTCTTCGTCGTCGTTTTACCAGAAATCCACTGTATATACAAAAATTTGGATTTTTANAAAATTTTTAAAATTTATATTTTTTCACAAATACTAACAAGTGGTTCTGTATTCGGGGTATCGCATCACCGAAACAACCCTTGAGTTTCATACGAACAACTTCCCAGTTAATAACAATATTCAATTCTTTTTAATGATAAATCTCGTAATGATAATGTAGAAAAATAAGTGGAAGTCCATTGAAATTCATATTAATTGATTCAACTATTTATCGTGTTACAACAAAATGTTCAAATCGTTTCGACTGGTACTGGATAGAAGTATCTGTTTCCTTTAAAGTATCGCTATATCATAATTAATTAGATCAAATAAATCTTTTTCAAAATTTACTAATTTTCATCCTTTTTGTTTAAACAAAGAAACGACTCGATCGAATGTTATGTAATTCTTCTCAAGTTAAAAATAGAAGAAAATATAGAGTGTTTTCCATTTTAATTGCTACAAATACGTGATAAAATAAGTCATAAAATAAAGATTTGAGAGTTTTTTGTCTTTCGCCAAAAATAACTGAGAAATGTGGGGGCAGAGAAGTTATGTGAAACATCCTGTAGGTACATACATGCACTAAAATTGTTTATTTGGTTTACTAGGTTGGGATTTTCATAACCATGAACCCTGGTTACGCCGGTAGAACCGAGCTCCCCGAAAATCTGAAAGCTCTCTTCCGCCCCTGTGCAATGGTGGTGCCAGACTTTGCGCTCATATGCGAAATTATGCTGGTGGCAGAGGGATTTCAAGAGGCTCGTCTTTTAGCCAGAAAATTCATCACACTCTACACGCTATGTAAAGAACTACTGAGCAAACAAGATCACTACGACTGGGGTTTACGTGCCATCAAGTCAGTACTGGTCGTTGCGGGTTCTCTGAAGAGAGGTGACAGATTGAGACCTGAAGATCAGGTGCTTATGCGAGCACTGAGAGACTTCAACATTCCCAAAATCGTTACCGACGACGTACCGGTATTTATGGGTCTGATTGGCGACTTATTTCCGGCCTTGGACGTACCGCGTAAGCGAGATTTGGAATTTGAGAAGACGATCCGTAAATCGGCGATGGATTTGAAGCTACAACCGGAAGACGGATTCGTGTTGAAAGTTGTACAGCTCGAGGAATTGTTTGCCGTGAGACATTCCGTATTCATAGTCGGTTTTGCTGGTACAGGTAAAACGTGTGTCTGGAAAACTCTCAACAAAACGTACGCAAACCAAAAACGAAAACCGTTTTACAACGATCTGAACCCGAAAGCGGTAACAAACGACGAACTTTTCGGAATTATCAATCCGGCTACTCGAGAATGGAAAGACGGACTATTTTCGGTCATTATGAGAGATCAAGCAAACATGGCCGGCGACGGGCCGAAATGGATCGTGCTCGACGGCGATATCGATCCCATGTGGATTGAATCGTTGAACACTTTAATGGACGACAACAAAGTGCTGACGTTGGCGAGTAACGAAAGGATCGCTTTGACCCCGTTCATGAGACTGTTGTTTGAAATTGCAAATTTGCGAACGGCAACACCCGCCACCGTGTCCAGGGCTGGAATATTGTACATAAATCCGGCCGATCTCGGCTGGAATCCGTACGTGAGTTCCTGGATCGATACGCGAGAATCGCAGAACGAAAAGGCCAATCTTACGATTTTATTCGATAAATATATTCCGACGTGTTTGGACGCGACTAGAACGAAATTTAAGAAAATAACACCGATATGCGAGATTGCACATTTGTGCATGATCTGTTTCTTGTTAGACGCATTTTTAGTGCCTGAAAACGTCCCCCCCGACTGTCCCAAAGAATGGTACGAGATCTATTTCGTGTTTTGTGTCGTATGGGCTTTCGGATCGTCACTGTTCCAGGATCAACTGGCCGATTGGAGAAACGAATTTAGCAAATGGTTCGTTAACGAGTTCAAGACCGTAAAATTCCCGGCCGCCGGCACAGTGTTTCATTATTACATCGATCAAGAAACGAAAAAGTTTCAACCGTGGACGGACCTGGTTCCCAAGTTTGAGTTTGACCCCGAAATTCCGTTACAGGCAACCCTGGTGAACACGGCAGAGACTGTGCGTGTCAGATATTTCGTCGACATACTTATAGCCAACAAACATCCCGTTATGTTAATTGGAAATGCGGGAAGCGGCAAGTCCGTCATAATGATCGATAAACTTGACAGTCTTCCGGAGAGCTACGCGGTTACGAATGTCCCTTTTAATTTCTACACAACATCTGAAATGCTGCAGAAAATTTTGGAAGGACCGCTAGAGAAAAAGGCAGGCAGGATGTACGGTCCTCCCGGTAATAAAACAATGATTTATTTCGTTGACGACATGAACATGCCAGAGGTTGATAAATACTTCACGGTACAACCGCACACATTAATCAGACAATGGATGGACTATCAGCATTGGTACGACAGACAAAAACTATCACTGAAAGATATAAGTAATGTTCAAATGGTGTCGTGTATGAATCCAACGGCTGGTTCCTTCACGATTGATCCAAGATTACAGCGACACTTTTGTGTATTCGCGATCAGCCCGCCGACATACGACGCCATGGTGGTAATCTACAGTTCAATTTTCAGCCAGCACTTGGCAATACCTGCCCTCAAGTTTAACCCCAACGTTCAGAAACTCTGTGACAATATTGTAGCCGCTGCACTGAATATGCACAGTAAGGTAATATCTAATTTTTTACCGACTGCTGTGAAATTCCACTATAATTTCAATCTAAGAGACACCTCGAATCTTTTCCAAAGTATTATGTATTGTACCGGAGATGCCGCTCCCACTGCTTCTCACATGATACGTCTATACATGCACGAGTCTTATAGGGTTTACAGCGACAGATTCATCGAACAGCCGGATATAAAGAACTTCAGTAAACTATTGATGGAGACAGTCCGCAAAGGATTCGAAGAATTAGACGAGGGTGAGGTAATGGCCGAGCCATTAATATTTTGTCATTTCGCTGAAGGTTTGGGTGATCCAAAATACTATATGATCAGAGATATGGATCATTTGAGTAGACTGCTGAACGAAGCATTGAGTAGTTACAATGACTTGGTGGCAGCGATGAATTTGGTACTTTTTGACGATGCCATGCAACATATATGCCGAATAAATCGCATAATAGAGGGTCCTAGAGGCAATGCGTTACTTGTTGGCGTGGGCGGTTCTGGAAAACAAAGTCTAACCCGTCTTTCTTCCTTCATCTCTTCGTTGGAAGTTTTTCAAGTGCAATTGAAGAAAGGATATTCAATAGTCGATCTCAAACTTGACATTGCCACAATTTATGTAAAGGCAGGAATGAAAAATGTCAGCAGTGTCTTCTTGATGACCGATTCCCAAGTGGCCGAAGAGAAATTCCTGGTAGTTGTCAACGATATGCTTGCTTCCGGTGAGATTCCCGAATTACTCACCGACGAGGAGACCGAAAATATTTTGAATGTTATGAAACCGGAAGTTAAAGCGGCTGGGTTGCAGGAAACAAGGGAGAACTGCTGGAAATTTTATATAGAACGCTGTCGGAGAATAATAAAGACTGTTCTATGTTTTTCTCCTGTAGGCTCCACGTTGAGAGTGCGAGCCAGAAAATTTCCAGCGATTGTTAACTGTACATCGATTAACTGGTTCCACGAATGGCCAGAGGAGGCCTTGGAGTCCGTATCAAAGAGATTCTTAACCGAAATAGAAGTTCTACCACCGGAACTGGTGCATCCGATATCGTTGTACATGTCTTTCGTGCACGTTGTAGTAAATGATATGTCAGCTGCATATCTTCTAAACGAAAAGCGGTACAATTACACGACACCAAAGACATTTTTAGAATTGATCGCTCTATATTCGAAATTGTTAACAGAGAAAATACGCAACATAGAAAATAACATATTTAAATTTGAAAATGGGCTAACGAAACTTGTTTCCACTGCCGAAGAGGTGGACGGGTTGAAAGATATTTTGGCAGTGCAAGAAGTCGAACTGGCAGAAAAGAATGCAGCCGCCGATGCTTTGATTAAAGTTTTGGCTGTAGAAAACGAAAAAGTATCGAGCGAAAAAGAATTTGCTTCCGAAGAAGAAGCTAAAGTAAAAGTAGTAGAAGAGGAAGTGTCCGTCCAGCAGAAAATATGTGCGGAAGAATTGGCAAAAGCCGAGCCAGCCTTGATTGCCGCCCAGCAAGCGTTGAATACGTTGAATAAGAACAATCTTACCGAACTGAAGTCTTTCGCTCAACCGCCGGATGCAGTCGTTGCTGTCACTGCTGCCGTTTTGGTTTTGTTTACACCAAAAAATAAACCTATGCCGAGAGACCGCAGTTGGAAAGCCTGCAAAGGTATAATGGCAAAAGTCGACCAATTTTTGTCTGACCTTGTTAACTACGACAAGGATAATATGCAACCCGAGGTAGTGAAAGAAGTAATAAAGTATACTCAAACTCCAGGATTCAATTACGAGAATATTTTAACCAAATCGGCCGCTGCAGCTGGACTCTGCTCCTGGGTTATTAACATTTTGAAGTATTATGATGTTTTTGTAGTGGTTGAGCCCAAGCGAAAGGCGCTGCAGAAGGCGACGAACGATTTGAACGCTGCGCGAGCAAAATTGACGGAATTGAATACAAAGTTGGGCGTACTCGAACAACAGCTAGCCGTGTTGAAAGCGGATTTTGATGTAGCAACAGAAGCTAAAATGAAATGTCAAGCAGAAGCGGATGCAACTGCCTTGATGATCGATTTAGCAAACAGGCTAGTCAACGGACTTGCATCAGAAAACGTCCGATGGAGGGAATCGATAAAAAGCTATCAAGCATCAATCACAACAACTCCAGGAGATATTTTACTTTTGACTTCATTTATATCGTACGTTGGATGCTTTATGAGAAAGTATCGTATAGATATGATGAAGAATAAGTGGTTGCCGTATCTGAAACGTTGTGACCCTCCTATTCCGATGACCGAAGACCTAAATCCTCTATCGCTTGTAATAGACGATGCAGTGGTTGCTAAGTGGAACAATGAAGGCTTGCCAAGTGACAGCATGTCCACAGAAAACGCCACAATTTTAGTTAATTCGGCGAGGTGGCCTCTAATGATCGATCCACAACTTCAAGGTATAAAGTGGATAAAAAACAGATTCGGTTCGGAACTAATAGTAGTGAGACTTACAACTAGAAACTACTTGGACATGATAGAAAGGGCGATTTCTAATGGGAAAGTAGTTCTCTTGGAAAACATCGGTGAAGCTCTTGATGCCGTCTTAGATCCCATTCTTGGAAGAGTTTTGATAAAGAAGGGAAAGGCAATTAAGTTGGGCGACAAAGAAGTTGACTATGATCCTAACTTCAGGCTCATAATTCAAACAAAGTTGGCAAATCCCCATTATAAACCGGAAATCCAGGCACAAACTACTTTGATAAACTTTACAGTCACAAGGGATGGTTTAGAGGAGCAACTTTTGGCGGAAGTGGTGAAGGCCGAAAGGCCGGATTTGGAAACATTAAAATCTTCTCTGACAAAACAACAGAACGATTTTAAGATCACGATAAAATACTGTGAAGATGCTTTATTAGAGCGATTATCTTCGGCAACGGGCAATATATTGGGAGATGTTGCATTGGTAGAAAATCTGGAACGAACTAAAAAAACTGCAGCGGAAATTGAAATAAAATCCGTTGAAGCAAAAGCAACATCTATTAAAATTGACGTAGCTAGAGAACATTATCGACCTGCAGCCATAAGGGCTTCCCTTCTTTATTTTATATTGAACGAATTATGCAAAATCAATCTCATATATCAGTTTTCATTAAAGGCGTTCACCACAGTGTTTCTGAATGCTCTGGCAAGAGCTGATGAGGCAGACAGTCTTAAAGCTCGAGTGATAAATTTATTGGACAGCATAACGTTCATGGTTTTCATGTACACCAGCAGGGGATTATTCGAACGTGATAAACTTATATTTAAATCACAAATGGCATTTCAGATTTTGCTCAATGCGGAAGAAATAACATCGGAGGAGCTCGATTTTCTCCTCCGTTTTCCAATAGTTGCTGGTGTAAATTCTCCTCTTGATTTCCTCAGTCATCAGTCGTGGGGGGGTGTTAAAGCTTTATCCAACAGGGACGAGTTTAAGGGTCTCGATAAGGATCTGGAGGGTTCTGCAAAACGATGGAGAAAATTTGTTGAAAGTGAAAATCCCGAAAAGGAGAAATTACCAGGCGAATGGAAATCCAAGACGTCACTTCAAAGGTTATGTATAATGAGAGCACTTCGCCCAGACCGAATGACCTATGCTATAAATGTTTTTATTGAAGAGAAATTGGGTTCCAAGTATATTACCGCTAGATCGATTCCGTTTGAGAAGTCGTACGAAGAAACGAGCAATTCAACACCGACATTCTTTATAATATCACCTGGCGTAAATCCTTTAAAGGACGTAGAAATGTTAGGTAAAAAGTTGGGTTTTATGTTCGACTCCGGCAACTTTCATATGGTTTCTCTTGGACAAGGCCAAGAAGTAGTTGCAGAGCATGCGATGGACGTTTCAGCGGAGCTTGGTCAATGGGTTATCCTCGAAAATATTCACTTGGTCGTGAAATGGTTACCCACATTAGAAAAGAAGATGGAACAGTTCAACGAAGAATCTCACAAAGATTACAGACTTTATATGAGTGCAGAAGCATCTGCTGATCCGATGTCTAATGTACTGCCACAAGGAATACTTGAGTCGTCGATAAAAATAACAAACGAACCGCCAACAGGAATGTTTGCCAATCTTCATAAAGCTCTGGACAATTTTACCCAAGAAACACTAGAAATGTGCACAAAAGAGGCAGAATTTAAATCAATATTATTCGCTCTTTGCTATTTCCATGCAGTAATCCAAGAGAGACGTAAATTTGGAGCGCAAGGATGGAATAGGGTTTATCCATTCAATTTTGGCGATCTTACCATCAGTATTAACGTATTGTATAATTATTTAGAAGGGAACCCCCGAATTCCGTGGGACGACCTGCGATACCTTTTCGGGGAGATTATGTACGGAGGTCATATTACTGACGACTGGGACAGGCGATTGTGTAGAACGTACCTTTTAGAATACATGCAGCCCGAGTTAGTAGAAGGCGAATTGGAAATGGCGCCAGGTTTTATATCACCCCCCAACACAGATTATCAGAACTACCATCGTTACATAGATGACAGATTACCACCGGAATCTCCTAATTTGTACGGATTACACCCGAATGCTGAAATTGGTTTCCTAACTGCGACGTCTGAAACTTTATTCCAAACCGTATTCGAACTTCAACCGAGAGAAGCTGAAGCTGCAGTTGGCGTTGGAATATCGAAAGAAGATAAAGTCAGAATGGCGATCGAAGATATTTTGGACAGACTTCCGGAAGCATTTCCTGTGCACGAAATGATGGCCAAAGTGGAAGAACGAACTCCATTCATTATCGTTTGTTTCCAAGAATGCGAAAGGATGAATATGTTAACAAACGAGATGAAACGATCGTTGAAAGAACTGGAACTTGGACTGAAAGGTGAATTGACCATCAGTTCAGTCATGGAGGAATTGATGGAATTTTTGTTTATGGATAAAGTACCTGATCCTTGGGTAGCCAAAGCCTATCCCAGCCTACTTGGCCTTAGTGCGTGGTGTGCAGACTTGGGAAATAGAATTAGAAGCTTAGAAGACTGGTCTGGCGATTTAAATTTGCCTCCAACAGTCTGGTTGGGTGGATTCTTCAATCCACAATCATTTCTTACGGCCATTATGCAACAGACGGCTCGAAAAAATGAATGGCCGTTGGATAAGATGTGTCTGCTTACTGACGTAACAAAGAAACAGAAAGAAGATTTTACGAGTCCACCAAGAGAGGGTGCTTATGTCCACGGACTATTCATGGAAGGGGCACGATGGGATATCGCTACTGGTAGTATAGCTGACTCGAAACTGAAAGAATTGTATCCAGTTGTGCCCGTAATATATATTAAGGCGATTACGCAAGATAAACAAGATCTGAAGAACATGTACGATTGTCCCGTTTATAAGACGAAATTGAGGGGACCGACCTTTGTTTGGACATTCAATTTGAAAACTAAGGAGAGACCGACAAAGTGGACTTTAGCAGGCGTCGCAATTTTACTGCAAATATGATGTAGAATATTATTTTAGAAAAGTGAAATTTTAATAAACACTTAATATTTTAATTGTTGTTACGGGACTGTGGCATGAATGAATAGAGCATGATATGAAACATTTGAATATATTTTTGAAACTGCAAGTTTGGTATTAAACTAGAACCTCGATAAGATAAAGACTAAGGGAAACATAAAATAATTTGAGTTATTGAGGTTTTTACTTACTAAGGGTTTAAGTTTTAAGCTTTAAAATTATGGATTTCTAGTGACAACAAACTCTTCAGCTTTTTCCTTTAGTATCGGTCCACTAACACTAATGTTTTTACATATTTCTACACTGTCTTAGCCAAGCATTTTTCTAAATTAGGAAATTTAGCAATTCTTAGTTTTTACACAGAAGACTTTCTCCCGATTCAAACCACTTTTCACTGCTTACTGAGGATGCNCAAAGCTTTGGGCATTATGGTATACGTGTTTAATTGTTCGGAACAAATGGACTACAAATCGGTCGGAAACATCTACAAGGGCTTGGCCCAAACTGGCACGTGGGGATGTTTTGACGAATTCAATAGGATCTCTGTGGAAGTGTTGTCGGTGGTAGCAGTACAGGTCAAGACCATTCAAGACGCAATCAAAAATAAGAAAGTTAGGTTTTTGTTTTTGGGAGAAGATATAACGTTGATTAAGACGGTAAGTAGTCAAGATTTGTTTCTAAAAATTCCAAGTTTCTCAGTTATGTTGTTGCGAATCCAGTAGTAACGTTCGATTTGATTTTCGAATTAGTATTGTAATTATTAAAGTTTATTTTTACACCAATCGTTCCTCGATACTAATTACAAAGTATCAGAGCCAAGCTGGATTTTCTGATCAATCGTTCCTATTGGTTGGCTAATAGGCTAATTATAATTATTGACTAAGAATATTTTGGATCTTCAAAATTTATGTGGATGTAGCTAGGGGGTGGTTTATGATGAAAACGGATTTTCTTTGAGTTTCTTCTAATTAATTTTTTTCTAAGTGTTATTAATATCTACAATTTAGCGATTAATTGCTAATTAAAACTAAAATTTGATTTGTTTGAGGTTTAGAGTACCTACTATAAAATTTTGCGGACTACTAGAAATACGGAATATTCGATTCGAATTTTAAATTTTTAAATTAATCGATTTCATTGAGCTCTATTCGCATCTAAAGTACTTACAGGGCGATTCACACTATTCTCCGTTATTTTTATTGGCAAGAAGGTTTTTCGAACACAAAATATTTTATGAGATTTCTTATGAATTCTTGAATGAATACACAGAGTGTTTGAAGAAATGTACATACGTATCTGTATTTCTTTACCTTTGCTTATAACGACTTCCGGATATATCGATGAAATTACTTATGGTCTCTTCGTCGTCGTTTTACCAGAAATCCACTGTATATACAAAAATTTGGATTTTCTTTATTGTTTTATTGCTACCATCTTAGGTTAAGGAAATTTTACCGCCACACTATACTGTAAGTAAAAACGAAAAACGAAATCAAAACTGACCTGTATACGAAGTACTTGCCAACTAAAATTAAAAAAATTCTATTATTAGGTGAAGTTTGTCATGGACGATTCTACTACATTGAATGATTTGTTGGTGCTGAATTTGCACAAATTCGAAGAAGAAGTTAAAACGATCGTTGATAAATCGGTCAAGGAGATGGCTATGGAGAAGGTATTGAAAGAAATTAAAGCGACTTGGAGTTCGTACGAATTCGAGGTCGAGTATCACGAAAGGACGAAATTGAAACTTTTAAAGGGATCCGAAGAAATGGTGGAGTTGTTAGAAGAACATCAAGGAGCTTTGCAAAACATGATGACATCGAAGTTTATTGACTTCTTCTTCACGGAAGTAACCGAATGGCTTACGAAGCTTTCGATGGCCGATGCTGTGATATCGGTTTTCTACGAAGTTCAGAGGAAATGGAGTTATTTGGAGAGCATTTTCATAGGTTCTGAGGATATTCGGTCGCAGTTACCGGAAGATTCCAGAAGATTCGATAGAATCGATAAGGAATTTAAGGATGTATTGAATGACATGACCAGAAACTTGAACGTTATAGTGGCTACCAATAAACCTGGCTTGGTACGTCGCATTGAAGGTTTGGAAGCTGATTTGACCCTTTGCGAGAAAGCTCTCAATGATTATTTAGAAACGAAGAGATTGGCTTTTCCCCGTTTCTACTTTGTTTCATCGGCCGACTTGTTGGATATTCTATCCAACGGGAACAATCCTCCGATGGTTTGCAGACATCTGACGAAACTATTTGACAATTTGGCAAAACTAAGATTCGTCCAAGAAGGAGGTAGAGATAGTAAAAGAGCGTCGGGAATGATGTCGAAGGAACACGAGGAATATGTTCCGTTCATATCGAGTTGTGATTGTTCGGGTAAAGTCGAAGTATGGCTAAACAGGGTAATAGATGTAATGCGTACAACGTTACGTAAGGTCTTCCAAGACGCCGTGGTCAGTTACGATGAAAAACCAAGAGAAGTTTGGTTGTACGACTATCCGGCTCAGCCAGCTCTCTGTGGAACGCAAATATGGTGGACGACAGAAGTGAACATGGCTTTCGCTAGGTTGGAAGAGGGTTACGAGAATGCACTGAAAGATTATAATAGGAAACAGATTGCCCAGTTGAATGCACTCATTAATTTACTTTTGGGCGACTTGACCAGCGGAGATCGGCAAAAAATTATGACTATTTGCACGATCGACGTCCATTCGAGAGACGTGGTGGCAAAAATGATAGCTGTAAAAGTTGACAACTCCCAGGCATTCCAATGGCAAAGTCAATTGCGTCACAGATGGGACAACAAAATCGCTGACTGTTTCGCTAACATTTGCGACGCCCAGTTTCGTTATCAGTACGAATATTTGGGGAACACCCCCAGNCATGGAGGAATTGATGGAATTTTTGTTTATGGATAAAGTACCTGATCCTTGGGTAGCCAAAGCCTATCCCAGCCTACTTGGCCTTAGTGCGTGGTGTGCAGACTTGGGAAATAGAATTAGAAGCTTAGAAGACTGGTCTGGCGATTTAAATTTGCCTCCAACAGTCTGGTTGGGTGGATTCTTCAATCCACAATCATTTCTTACGGCCATTATGCAACAGACGGCTCGAAAAAATGAATGGCCGTTGGATAAGATGTGTCTGCTTACTGACGTAACAAAGAAACAGAAAGAAGATTTTACGAGTCCACCAAGAGAGGGTGCTTATGTCCACGGACTATTCATGGAAGGGGCACGATGGGATATCGCTACTGGTAGTATAGCTGACTCGAAACTGAAAGAATTGTATCCAGTTGTGCCCGTAATATATATTAAGGCGATTACGCAAGATAAACAAGATCTGAAGAACATGTACGATTGTCCCGTTTATAAGACGAAATTGAGGGGACCGACCTTTGTTTGGACATTCAATTTGAAAACTAAGGAGAGACCGACAAAGTGGACTTTAGCAGGCGTCGCAATTTTACTGCAAATATGATGTAGAATATTATTTTAGAAAGTGAAATTTTAATAAACACTTAATATTTTAATTGTTGTTACGGGAATGTGGCATGAATGAATAGCGTATGAAATGAAACATTTGAATATATTTTTGAAACTGCAAGTTTGGTATTACACTAGAATCTCGATAAGATAAAGACTAAGGGAAACATAAAATAATTTGAGTTATTGAGGTTTTTACTTACTAAGGGTTTAAGTTTTAAGCTTTAAAATTATGGATTTCTAGTGACAACAAACTCTTCAGCTTTTTCCTTTAGTATCGGTCCACTAACACTAATGTTTTTACATATTTCTACACTGTCTTAGCCAAGCATTTTTCTAAATTAGGAAATTTAGCAATTCTTCGTTTTTACACAGAAGACTTTCTCCCGATTCAAACCACTTTTCACTGCTTACTGAGGATGCCCAAATTATTCCTTTAAGTTATAGAGGGTTTTTATTTTAAGTAATACAAGTTTTACACTCTGAGGGGAAGGGAACAAAATTTTATGAATTTATAGAGGTTGATTGATACGTTTTCAAGGTTTAAGTTATCATGGTTCTACTGTAATAAAAATGTCATTGTTATTGTTTTTAAAAACAAATTCAATAACTTATCTTAGAAAGCTCAAATTATTCCTTTAAGTTATAGAGGGTTTTTATTTTAAGTAATAGAAGTTTAACACTCCGAGGGGAAGGGAACAAAATTTTATGAATTTATAGAGGTTAATACTTTTTCGAGGTTTAAGTTATCATGGTTCTACTGTAATAAAAATGTCATTGTTATTGTTTTTAAAAACAAATTCAATAACTTATCTTAGAAAGAGAAGATATGATTTGGCCGCTAGTAATCTACGGGGTAATTTTCAGTCATATTATTATGTTGGGTAATTCTTAAACACTCCGGATGCATCCAGGATAAATTTCTTTAAATTAAACTAATTCTTCCCCCCATCAGTCACTGTGAGCTCGAAACTGTTAGCACCATTGCTTCGATTGGTCGAAATTCACTTTTGTGAACAATTTGTTCACTTTGTATTAAAAATGTTTTGAAAAATTAAATTTAAAGGAATTGTTTGTAAATTGGTATGCAACACATCGTACACTTCAGCATAAGAAATTGCTGATACTAACTACGTAATACTACTTTGCCCTGTGCTGACA